ACACCTATGGATAAGGACAGTGGGGGCGGAGGGGTAAGGGCAGAGGGTGGAGTGGGAACCAGGTGAAGGGGAGCTAGGGGGGAAAACAGAGGAACAACTGTAATAATCTGAACAACGAAGATTTTAAAAAAATAAAATAAATAAATTATGATATAGCCATAGGATTACTCATAAAAAGTATGCTTTGGGGAAATTTAATAATATGGAAACATTTTCACAATACAATATCAAGTGATTAAGAGTAGAATATAAAATGTATTTACAGTATGAACCCAAATACATTAAAATAGCACATGCACTCACTCATACACACACACACACACACACACACACACACACGCCCTAAAAAAGGCTGAAACCTAATACAAAAATGAGTTAATGATTGCCTCTGGGTGGCAGAAACACAACCTTAATTTTACTATTTATACTATTAAAATTATAACAAGCACATGCAGCTTTATTAAAACAATATAAATAGTATGTTTAAATAAAATTATTTAAATAAAAATTGTAAATAAATTATTTAAATAAAAGAACAAATGAAGTGTCCATCATGAGGCTTAGAACATTGAAACTTGACCATCACTTATGCTTGTTAACAGAAACAAGTTCACTGCTCATTTCTGAATTTCAGGTAATAACATATGTCCCTTTGTTGAGCTGAGCTTAAAAGGAACAATTTAATTAAAATAACAAATGTTAATGTAAAATCAATTCTTGCACAAAATAGGCATGAACAAATGCTAGCCAAATCTGAATACATGCCATGGAAGTAGTGATTTTTCAAAATAAATAAATTAGTCCATTGCAGATCAGTATTTCAATTGCTGCTTCAGCATAGGCATGGGGACTCTCCTGCTCACACTGTGCCCCCACCATTTGGAAGGTGTTTCCAAATTCAGGAAACAACCCTCTCTTTGATGGATGCCAGACAGCATGGAAAGCATTGGAGCAGAGCCAGAAACAGCACAGACATACAGAAATGCAAATAATGGAAGACCTAATTCCTATTAATAAAAGCCTAATATCCTAAGTGTCCGGTTGACCCTTCGGCCATTCAACCAATCAAAGCATAATATGCTAATGATATGCTAAGGTTGCTCAACTGCCCGCTACGATGACATACACTGACCATCAGGGGGCAGATGCTCCAAACGGTAGGTTAGCTTGCTGCTGGGGTCTGGCTGATTGGGACTGGGCAAGACGTGCTGGACACGTTCTGGAGCCCTCCCGTGGTCCTTTCCTGGCAGGCCAACTCCCTGAATCCCTCTCTGGCCCCAATCGTGCACAGGTGGGATTCCTTGGCCTGGCCTGTTGCCCTCTCGCAATCCGGGACCCCTTGGGGGATGTCAGAGAGCTGGTTTTGGACTGATCCCTCAGGCCAGGCCAAGGGACCCCATTGGTGCACGAATTCGTGCACTGGGCTTCTAGTACAGGAATAAACCACCCCATTCCTAATTCCATAGCAAATTCTCCCATTAGTCCCTGGGGATCAATTCACAGCTTCTTGTTAAAACTGTGTTTTCATGTCCCACAAGGATGTGGAGTAGATTACCCTAAGACAAAAGCATCAGTGTGTCAAATGTATATAGAGATGTCCTAAGGCAATGAGAAATACATTTTCATTTCATTCTGTTAATTTTTTATCTGAATTGCATTTCTTGTTGTCTGGTGTTCTATGATCACCCAGGGCTGTTATTTCTAGTCAGAATGGTACTTGGCCTCTCATATTTATTCTTCATTATCTCCAAATAAAATTGTAAAGCTTTATCCAGGAACTAGAGGCCCGATGCACAAAGATTTATGCAAGAATAGGCCTTCCTTTCCCTGGCTGCCAGCACCACCTTCACTCTGACCCAAAGCCGCCTTCCGCCTTCACGTGCTGCCCAGAGGGCCGGAACGCCGAGGGCGGGGCGGAATGCCTGTGTCATTGCCATGGCGACAACGCAAGCATCCTGGTCAGGCTGCCGCAATCTTTGTCGCATCAATTTGCATATTCCCTCCTTATTGGCTGTGGGCACCGCCATCTTTGTCACAAAGTGACAGTCAATTTGCATAGTCCGTCTTTATTAGATAGAATAATAGCACAAACTCAAAGATCTTTAGATTTTTAGAATAAATCATTATCCATCCAGAAAAGGACCATATGGAGTACTCAAATTTTGTCAGTGAAAACCTTCAACAAAAACAAGATAATCCTGAATATGTAGGTGTTTTAATATTTTTAATGCAAAAGATGCTAATTAAATGTTTATAAATGCTAAAAAACAAAACAAAACAAAACCTAAGCCAAATGGCTATCAATCTTTTCTTTTTAAAGTATTTTAATTGATTTCAGAGAGGAAAAGAGAGGGAGACATGAATAGAAACACCAATGATGAGAGAGAATCACTCATCAGCTAACTCCTGCATGCCCCCCACTGGGGATTGAGCCCACCACCTGGGCATGTGCCCTGAGTAGGAACTGAACTGTGACCTCCTGCTTCATAAGTCAACTACTGAGCTACGCTGGCGGGGCAAATGGCTATCAATCTTACCACATCGCTCCACTACACCTACAATTTCCCCCATATATAGCCTAATCAGTGATTTCTCCAATTAACTGAAGCACATCTGACGATATTTTAGTCTCTTTGGTTCACTGTGGTTTAAATATTACCTGGCATTTACCCAAATTAAATATGGCTTAATAGTGACTACTAATACCAAATATGCTAATTATGATATATATAATATCAATAAACAAGTAGTATGGAGATAATACAAAAGTGTTTTATAAATGATCCTTGGCCAAATAAAATCTAGTTATTTTCCAAATGAGATTAAACATGATTGTGAAAAATGCTTTGACTGTACAATGAGACAAGCAAGATAAAAGATTTATCTTTCAAGTTATTTACTGAAATATTAATACTCTAATTTTCAAATAAATCATTAACACATATGCATTTTACATAAATTAAAAATATGAGGTTTAATGTAACCGGATTAAAATATCTGAGGTTCACCTTAAGTGAAGAATACTTACTCTTAGCTGAGTTCGAAGTTTGGGTATCTCCTTCACTTTCTCTTCAAGTTCATCATTTTGATTTGTTAATTTAACTAGCTCTTCAGCCATTATGGAGCGTGTTTTTTCTAGACTGCCAATTTCTACCTGAGAAACATTATCAGAAAGAAATTTAGACAAAAATATATCCCATTTAATGTTCCTACTAATGTAAACATATTTAATGTGTTATTTTTAAAGAAAAATATAACAGCATATAACCATGAGGTAGCTCTTAAGTAAAAGGAAATAGTGACCAAAAAAAGGTTTCAACTTTCTTCAGAGGTGTACCACTGAATAGGGTGTACCATGAAAGACAAAGAACTAAAGAGAATTCAATCATCTGTTTGAACTATGCAACCTTGTATTTTTCTCTAATTTAAGGAAATAGCATATATTTCAGTTATTCTAAATTACTACAAAATCCCTGAGAAATAAAACCATACTTTAGTGTATCTCCAACTGTGTTGATCATATTGACAGACTACCAAAAATGTTCATTTGGTCCCTCAAGCATAGCATTCTGGGCTACATAAACATAAGTATTAAGATTATTCTAACCTATTTTTTCCCAATTCAAGATCTTCTTTAATAGAGTAATATTTTCAACTTATTAAAGTCATACAAAGGGAATAAATGAGGAAAGTTTTACTTATGAGTGTATCAAGTTTAACAAAAAATAGTTTAAACGTTTTAATATTTCTCACTACATTATATTTTAAAAGGCAAGATATGATGAGCGGCTCCTCCCTTCCCACTTACAATGTTTACTTTCATGTGCACAAGGTTGTAGTTCTAATCTCTCTATTCCAGCAGTTCTCAACCTGTGGGTCGCGTCCCCTTTGGCGGGTGAACGACCCTTTCACAGGGGGCGCCTAAGACCATCCTGCATATCAGATATTTACATTATGATTCATAACAGTAGCAACATTACAGTTATGAAGTAGCAACGAAAATAATTTTATGGTTGGGTCACAACATGAGGAACTGTATTTAAAGGGCCAGAAGGTTGAGAACCACTGCTCTATTCATTCCTCACGGGAAGTCAGAGCAACTTATATGAGTGGTAAATCCAGGAAGAATAAAATGGGTATGCTCAGATCAGAAGCTTCCTTTTTTTAAAACTATGTTTTATTTATTGATTTTTTAAAGAGGGCAGAAGGGAGAGGGAGAGAGAGAAAAACATCAGTGATAAGAAAGAACCACTGATAGGCTGCCTCCTGAACACCCCACCCCTACTGGGGATCAAGCCCACAACCAGGGCCTGGGCCCTGACCAGTAAGCAGAACCGTGACCTCTAGGTCCCTGATGGACGATCAATCACTAAGCCATGCCAGCTGGGCAACAGCTTTTTTTTTTTAACGTGTGGAAAAGCTGCTTGAAAGGAGCGCTCTGCTCCCAGATGCCTAAGTCTTACCTGGGCAGCTACCACACCTGGGAGCCCACTCCAGCCCAGCATTTCCCGTGATGGAGGTAAGTCAGTCTCCCCAGTTCTGGCCCTCAGCAGGCTCACTTGGCTCTTATCCTTGGTGAATTTCTCCAACCAGCCCTTATCATTAACATAGGATACATTTTGGTCTTCACATGCCACTATTTCATTTTATTTCTAAACTTGCACAGAATTCAGGTGAATATAAATTCAAGTATACTTATTGGCCCTCAAATTTTCACCTACTTCTATAGCATATTTAATTTTTCCAATACCTGTAAATGAGTAATTTCTCCTTCCCTTAGTTGTAGCTGGGACTGTAGATTTTCGATAATGCTAGATCCTGCCCCCATCCTTACAGCCTCATAAAGATTGCTTCCACTTGCTGATACAGACATTGGTCCAAGTGAGAGATCATGAGGCTCATCCTATGTTAAGAAAACACACAGTTATTCAGATAGTACAGACTGTCTGCCCTTATAAGGTTCAAACAAAAGATCTGTCAATTCTTGCTTTAAAATGTCTAACTCTCAAAGGCAGAAAATCATCTATACTTCCTCAGTTTTACAAATATTCAGATGACTTGCCTATGGAATGGCAAGATCATGATGATAGGCTAACTGCTACCTGCATATTCCTTTTATCATTATTCAGTTTAGGAATAAGCACATATCCTACATAATAAAGAGGTAATATGCAAATTGACCATCACTCCAACAAACAAGATGGCTGCCACAATATGGCCAGAAGGGAGGGCAGTTGTGGGCGATCAGGCCAGCAGGGGAGGGCAGTTGGGAGGAACCACGCCTGCAAGGAAGGGCAATTGGGGGTGATCAGGCCTGCAGGGGAGGGCAGTAAGGGGCAATTGGGTCGGCAGAGGAGGGCAGTTGGGAGGGACCAGGCCTGCAAGGGAGGGCAGTTAGGGGTGATCGGGCCAGCAGGGGAGGGCAGTTAGGGATGACCAGGCAAGCAGGGGAGGGCAGTTGGGGGCAACGAGGATGGCAAGGGAAGGCAATTAGGGGCAACCAGGCTGGCAGGAGAGGGCAGTTGGGGGCAACCAGGCCTGTAGGGGAGGGCAGTTGGGGGCGACCAGGCCTGCTGGCGAGGGCAGTTGGGGGCAATGAGGCCGGCAGGGAAAGGGCAGTTAGGGGCAACCAGGCTGGCAAGGGAGGACAGTTGGGGGTGGTCAGGCCTACAGGGGAGGGCAGTTAGGGGCAACCAGGCTGGCAGGAGAGGGCAGTTGGGGGCAACCAGGCCTGCAGGGGAGAGTAGTTAGGGGCAACCAGGCCTACAGGGGACAGCAGTTGGGGGCAACCAGGCCTGCAGGGGACAGCAGTTGGGGGCAACCAGGCCTGCAGGGGAGGGTTGTTAGGGGCAAACAGGCCTGCAGGGGAAGGCAGTTAGGGACAAACAGGCCCACAGGGAGGGCAGTTGTGAGCAACCAGGCCTGCAGGGGAGGACAGTTGGGGGAGACCCAGGCCTGCAAGGGAGAGCAGTCAGGGGTGACCAGGCCGGCAGGGGAAGGCAGTTAGGGGTGACTGGGCTGGCAGGGGAGGGCAGTTCAGGGCACCAGGCCTGCAGAGGAGGGCAGTTGGGAGTGACCAGGCAGAGGCTGTTAGGGGCAACGAGGCCGGCAGGGGAGGTCAGTTAAGAGTGATCAGGCTGGCAGGCAGAGGCAGTTAGGAGCCAGCGGTCCAAGATTGTGAGAGAGATGTCTGACTGCCAGTTTAGGCCCGATCCCTGTAGGATTGGGCCTAAACCGGCAGTCAGACATCCCCCATGTGGTCCCCAGCTGGAGAGGGTGCAGGCTGGGCTGAGGGAACCATCCCCACCCCCGTGCACGAATTTCATGCACCAGGACACTAGTATGAAATAAAACATCACCTGAGACAGGAAAGATGTTTGCAGCCCTGCCATCTCAACTCCACTTATTGAACTTGATCGTGACATTGTAGGCGTGCTAGAAACAGAAAATGGCTTCCGTTCCTTTAAGGAGTAAGAAAAAAATTTGGTTAGGATTAAGAGCGAAGTGGTAAATAAAAAAACAAGAAACTTTTCTAGGATTAATGACAACAAAGACTCATTCTAACTTCCTCATAAAATGTTACAGATATAACTTCTGAAGTCTTATCCTTGCAAGACACAATATTTGGTAATCTGAAAGTATAGACAGACTTGGTCAAATCATCTAGGGCAGTGGTTCTCAGCCTTCCTAATGCTGCAACCCTTTAATACAGTTCCTCATGTTATGGTGACCCCCAATTTCATTATTAAAAATTGAACATAATTAAAGCATAGTGATTAATCACAAAAACAATATGCAATTATATATATGTTTTCCAATGGTTTTAGGCGACCCGTGAAAGGGTCGCTTGACCCCCAAAGGGGTCGCGACCCACAGGTTGAGAACCGCTGATCTAGGGACTCATGTATATTGCAACAACATAATCTGATTTATTTTTAATGGAATGAAAATGTATTTTTTAAAACGTATTCCTTTTATTGATTTCAGAGAGGAAGGGAGAGAGAGAAATAGAAACATCAATGATGGGAGAGAATCATTGATCAGTTGTCTCCTGCATGCCCCCCACTGGGGATTGAGCCCGCAACCCAGGCATGTGCCCTTGGCTGGAATTGAACCCAGGACACTTCAGTCCACAGGCCGACGCCCTATCCACTGAGCCAAACCAGCTAGGGCGAAAATGTTCTTGTTAAAACAATTATATGAACTCACTGCTTCCTATTATATAACCTATTTCTTCCTTTGTTGTTGTTCTTAATCCTCACCCGAGGATATTTTTTCCATTGATTTTTTGAGAGAGTAGAAGGGAGGGAGGAAGGGGGAGAGGGAGAGAATGAAAGAGACAGAGAAACATTGATGTGAGAGACACATCAATTGGCTGCCCCAGCACACAGCCCAATTGGGGCTAGGGATTTAACCTGCAACCCAGGTACATGCCCTTAACTGGGAATTGAACCTTCAGTGCATGAGCTGATGCTATAACCTCTGAGTCACAACAGCCAGGGCAGACTAAACCTCTTTCTTTCTTTTCTTTTTTTTTTTAAATTGATTTCAGAGAGGAAGGGAAAGGGAGAAGGAGAGAGAGAGAGGGAGAGGGAGAGAGACATCAATGATGAGAGAGAATCATTGATCGGCTGCTCCTGCATGCCCCAAACACCAGGGACTGAGCCCACAACCTGGGCCTGTGCCCTCTCCGGGAATCGAACTGTGACTTCCTGGTTCATAGGTTGAGCCTCAACCACTGAGCCATGCTAGTGGGGGTAAACCTGTTCCCTTAGAATAAGATTACCAATGAGTTTTATAAACCTTAAAAAGTTTCTGGCTTATCTACTTTATTTTTAGTGTATTTTTTAAAATTCCAAATAAATGTAAAAGGTAATTTCAATGTTGACACAGGTAGTTTCTATATATTATGCTAACTACCGAGTACCTGCCAATACTTTAAATATAGGAAACTCACTTTAAAAAGAGGTTCTACACTTCAAATCCCAGAAAACACAGATCTGTTTGGATAAACTCAAAATATTTTGGATCTACTCTGAACAAGACACTGATTACACTAATAGGGTTTATCATCCTACTGATTTTAGACATTAGAAATGTTATTTATAAAGTGCAACTAAAATTACAAAACAATGATTAATCACAACAGCTACTAACTGGTTACACCAAAAAATTCAATACCTTTTCTTTTATTGCTTCTTGAGTAAAAATGGCTTTCTTCCGTTCTTGTTCAACTTTCATTTTCTCCATTTCTAACTGACTGCTCAACAGTGTCTAATAGACAGAAATACAGTTAGATAATTCCTATGATACTAAATCATCCCCAAAAGTCAATCTCAAAAGTAGGAGCATAAAGTATATACCTAGTTGTCTTACTACTAAAGAGCAAGTCCCAAAAGCAGTAAGTTCCTTCATTTCATCTTGTCATTACTTTGCTACCATCCCCTAGCCCTAACAGGTGAGTCAACAACTAACAGAAATACCTTTTCTTTCCTTGTCTCTTCCAGTGTTCTCACATAATCATCTTTTAGGTTTTCTAATTCAACCTGGTACCTATTAAGCAGAAGGAAATGAAACAAAAAAGATGACAGTACAGACTATTAAAAACTCACTATTTTATTAACTCCAGCTACATATATATAGTCATTTTTATTACCAGACTGATTTTCCTACTGTTGCTTTTTTCCAGATGACTTGGGTTTTACTCAGAAGCCAAACTACTACTTTTGTGCATTGTATTTATTGGTGCTTTGGGTTAAGATTTCATTTAAAAGAAATTTCCTAAAAGAATTTTGAATGCAACCATTCCATATGTTCAGATTCTGCAAAAGGTTGTTAGGGGGTCCAATGAAAACGTTTGCAAAAGTTCAGGTATTTTACTTTATAAAGCATTTTTACTTCACTACATTTTTAAAAGTAAAATTTCCAAGAAAGAACTGAGGGTAAAAATGCACTAATCATAGCCTTTATATAAAGATAGCCCTATATAATTTCAGGTGGATGTATTTTATAGCTTGTGGTTTCCAAAGAACCAATACATTTATTTAGAAAGACTGAAACACTGCTAAAACCCTTGTAATATAAAAATAACTCCAATGAAATAACTCCAATATGTTTCCAAACTATTTTCTGGTTACAGACTCCTTTAACAAATCTGATTAAAGCAATGAACCTTTTCTCTGGAAAATGCACATATAGAACATGCAACACAATTTCCAGAATACGTGTAAGATGCAATGAATCCCAGTACTATGTCTTGATGTAACATCCTATTACTAATGGCCCTAACTTTAAACACTAAGAGTATGTATTTTCAGTTCTCAGGGCCATGTAGCTAAAAGCCAACGGCACATGTTTTTAAGTGCTTTATAATGTCATCAAGTACCAAAAATAACTCAAGAAATATGCTCACCTATTTTTTTCATCTTCCAGTTTTATTAGCCTATTTTTCTCTGATTCTAGCTGGGCCTGAAATCTACTGTTTTCTTGTCTTAAGAGAGAATTCTGGGACTCCATGGAAGACAGCTGAATTTTGTTGGCAAGGAGTTCTTCCGTAGCCGCACGTTCTCTTTCAACGGCTGCTGCCAACAAGGTCTGAGATTCACCTGCATGGAGGATAAAAAGAGAAAATTCACATACACAGATACCCAAGAGGCCAAGACACCGAGTAGTTCTGACTTTCAATGATGCAAGTAGCCACACTTAAAACTCTTAACTGCTTATTGCCCGAGGCAGGGCTTTTTCCAAATTTTAAACTTTTGCTCTATGTGAACAAGATGAAAAGACAAGCCACAGACTTGCAGAAAACAAATGCAAACCACACTATCGAAGACTAGTATCTACAATATATTAAGAAGTTTCAAATCTCAGCAGTGAAAATACAAACAACCCAATTAGAAAATGGGCAAAAGACTTGAACAGACATTTCACTGAAGAGAATGCACAAATAGAAAATAAACATCTCAGCAATAAAAATAAATTAAAAATAAAAGCAGCACATGAAATAATGTTTAACATGATTGGTCATCAGGGAAATGCACATTAAAATCATAATAGATATCACTGCACACCTGTGTGGACGACTATAAAAAAACAGGGCCCTGGCTGGTGAGGCTCAGTTGGTTGAGCATTGTCCCAGCACTAAAAGGTCAGTGGTTCCATACCTGGTCAGGGCACATACCCAGGTTGCAGGCTCAATCCCCAGTAGGAACCATGTAGGAGGCGGCTGGTCAATGTTTCTCTCTCACATCGATGTTTCTCTTTCTCCCTCCCCACCCCCTAAAATAAATAAAAACATATGAAAAATAAAAAACAGGGAGACACAAAATCCTGGCAAAGATATGGAAAAACT